CCATTGGCCTGCTTGATATCACATCTTTAGGACCTTATTTGGTTATGTGCTGTTAGGTATCCAGGAACGTCACACGCTGGAAATCCTAGACCTCAGCTGCAAGTTGAGGAGTTGCCTCCGTGTATTTGTCCCAGAAGAGCTTGTTGCTGTTTTCTGCAGTGAACCCTATTTCCCAATGTAACTTCTCAAGCTGCTGCCTTTTTGGGCTGCAGCCATCTTTCCTAGACTGGAAAGGTCAGAGGATGCAATAGGGTTGCACTGACCTTGCTGAGCATCACAAGGTTATTGAGCAGTTGAACCTGACCTGGCTCTGTCTGTGGTTTTACCCTGAGACTGACTGGGAAGGATTTAGGATATGAGCGGTTAGCAGGGTGCATTCAAAGCTATTAGGTAGCTGTCAGATGACCAGATTTAAAAGGGGCATGCAATAGGATTCTAAGTTTACCCAGTTCTTAGGGCCAAGGGATGGCTCTGTCTTTTGAACCCCATAATCTCAGGCTTTCCTTAGCATTCACTGGCATGAGTTTCAGGTGTTTTGTGCCTCCATATCAGATAAGGATGTTGGCCCAGATATTGTGGGAATGGGCTTCACTGCTGATGTGGTTTGAAGTTGTAGACTTACCAGTTTGTACTCCTCAATTTGAAAACTGTTTTGGACAGGTGCTTTGTTCATAGTGTATCTGTACATGCATAGTACATTAGCATCAGTTTTCTTGTTTACAAATAATCTGTTACCTCATTAGTCCTGAACAGCACAGCTTGAAGCTGTCTTCGTCACCTCAAAAACATCTTGCTACTAAGTTGATAAACCATCCTTCCTTTTGTTCGACACGAATGTTAAAATGTTATAAACAAGTATCCAAAGGATCGACAACAATTTTTCATGCCGGATATATTTATTTGTCTTGTAATATTCCTTTTATGTCAACTGCAATAATTCGCTGTGCTTAAAGCATAAATATTTTTTCATGTGCATTTGTCTGAAGTGACAGCAAGTTGCCAGAGATGTTATCAGACACAACATATGAGGATGAGTAATACCGTTGCATTATGACTGCAGCTATTAAAAAGGCAGGGAAAAAATATTATTAGAAGCTGAGTGTTACTGGTAGGTTTCTCACACAGTGTGAGTGTTTAGGGGGAATGTGGAAAATAAAGTATTTGCGTTTAGACCAGCAGTGTCTGGAACACCACAGAGCAGTATCAGCTGGTAGGGTTTCTGTCATATAGCGCAAACATGAGTGTATTTGGTGCGAAATACTGAATGCTGTTCCCTCTGCAAACCCATGGCTCTGCATGATGATGATGAATGAGCTCAAGACCCCAGAAGTGCAAAGTGTCTGGATCTCTGGCTGAATATCTAGTTACAATGTGATTATTTTAACTGCATCTCTTTAATATCAGCAATGCACTGTGCAGCCAGAGTCCGATTTAAAACCTATAGCAAAAGACTGCTGAAATGACTCATTGGTGAAGATCTTTGTGATAAGTAAGTAGACCCTTCAGAGTCCTGAGCAGTAGCATGTGACACTGGCAGCATGTACCAGGAAGGGGACTTTTCATCTCAGCTTATGTCCCTTGGTATCTAAATAGCAGAAGCAGTTTGGTGAGAGCTACAGTGCTTTTTCTAGCTATTCACCTGGGAGGATCCCAGGAGTCTTATTAGAACTGCAAGCCAACAGGAGAAAATAATGCAAGGAAATTATCTCTGGAACCTTAAAGCCTTATGGGTCTACAAATGGTCTTGAAGCATGCCACATGGTTCCCCACTGGAGGGAAACACAAGTGAACATGTGGCTTCTGATTTTGCTCAGAAAGTCCATTGGTGTGAAATAGAATGTTCTTGTATCCCTTAGCATGGATGTGGAATCGATCTCCACGTGATATTTTAACTCTTTCTAAGTAGCAGTGTCTCCTCTGATCCTGGAAATGGTCATATTGATCCTGTGGGAGGCCGCTACATGAAACAGTGGCAAGCAGTGGCTGAGAGGTTGTGCTTTTGAGGGAAATGAGAAGCACAGGGATTTGTTCAAAATGTATAATTTTTCACATTAGGTACATTAATCAGTCCTTTGTGGGTGCCATAGTCTAATCCCAGAATCTTCAAATTCTGCTGTATAAGAAAGTCTGTGTGGTTTCATAGCAAGTACCCCTCATTGCAACTTTGGAAACCGTTCCCATAACACCAGAGCTAAAGGCAGCTCTGATAGTTCTTTGTTTGACGCTTAAGAACAGCAGTAAGAACAAAAAGAGAACACTGCAAAAGACAGGAAAGTCACCCATAAGATAGTTGAGCTTTCAAAAGCAAGAACAAAGTTTTGTTCATTCTCTCCTTTTTAAAAATAAAGTAAATCTCTATATTAAAAATATAATCTGTCATAGCTCTAGTAGATGATCTCCCCAGAACTATGCACTAGAGGACATTTCTGGCAAGACTGTGTGCTGGTGGTGAGACCAGCACAGTGTAATAGCCATGTCCTTCATAATGAATTCCCAGGCACTGCTTCACACCCACACAGTGTGGGGCTGTTCCTCCCACTATCCTGGGACAGTGTGCCGGGGTAACCCCACCACGGCAAAATTGTATTCCTTTCAGCAATATAAATTAGTAGGTAGAACCAGCCACGTGATGAGTAATAAGATACAGTTGCAAAGTGTGAGCCCTGTAAATAGAGAGTTTAAATAGAAAAGTCAAAACAAAGGAGGTTCATGACTATCTCTCAAATTTGCTGTAGCAGCTACTCTAGTCTACCATCGGACTTCATAGGTGTTTCAAACCTGACCTTAAGTCAGAGTATAAGAGGAACTACCCTTGGCAGCTCTCTTGATTTAGAACCACTGCAAGAAAAGAAGGAATGAGAGCTCCCTTTGTTTGTTATTTTTAAAATCTGACTCCCTGTTGCAAGGCAGTAAGATGAGCAAATGGTTCTTGCACCTGGCAAGTTACCATCAGCAATTATTGCAATGCTTAGTGTATTTCTGCCACCAGTAGAAATCTCTGCTCCTTTGTCAGAGATTTCATTGTTCTTATGAGGATGCTACAATTAAAGTCACAAGATTTACTGCTCTAATTCTCTCTTGTTTGCAACAGAAGGGAGAGTCAGGGAAGGATGATACATGTGGCTGAGTTTTGATTTTTTTTTTAATTATTTATTTATTTTATTTTACTGCCCAACAAATATATTGTGTATATATAACTGACAAAAAGTCATCAAACCATTCTGTTAGTAACTGGATTAACAACTGTTATTTTACATAAAGGAATCTAGTTAATAAAAAAAAACCAAAAAAACCCACTGTGACTGCATTTCACTTCGCTCTGTTTACAAACCTTGGCATCTAAGCAGGCTGTACCTTATGTATTTCTTCATGTTTCTTTCAGTATAGATATTTTCTAGTTTTAGATATGTCATTAATGTGGTGCCAATGTCAAGAACACTGTTTGTGACAAATATGTCAAAAATACTGCTTATGAGAAATGTGTTTATGGGAGGGAAACACAGTGGTTGACAGGAGTCCAGGCTTCATTATTGCCCTGTGCGTGACCTGAGAGGAATTGCCAAATCAGACTTTTTCAAAGGAGCCATCTGTGAACACAAGTGCAGTTCCCCTGTTCTGAACTGGCATCTGACAGTGAACTATTCAAATCTGAGCTCTTGACCCTCAGTTCAGTAGAGAGAGAAAGAAGAACAACTAAATAAGGACAATTTACCAGATCCATCGTAGGAGGTGAGCTGGTGCAGGTGCTCAGAGTGGCTGGTTTGCACCTGATGATCCACAGCTTGGACACTGAGGTGAAGGCAAACCAGATTCATTTCTGGCTCAATCCCTCATAGGATTTTTTAGACACCTTGCATATCACCTGAGCCACACTTAGTGATGTGGAAGATCATTCCTCTGAAACTTCAACCTTAGCATTTTCAAAACCAGGTTGCTGCTCTGGCTAAAATTAATGCACATTTAGAAATAGGTTTAAATTACAACACTGTTGGGCCTTAATTTCTCTCTCAATGAAATTAAACACTTTGTCAGACCTGCATGTTTTAAGTATTAACAGACAGGCTTTATTAATGGATGTTCCAGGTAATTGAGACAATAAGATTTCATTATCTGACCCATCTTGCTAGAATTTGTGGAATATCATGCTCTTCCTTGCTTCAAGGGTTGGTCCATTTCATTTACCAGCTACAGACCTCAGTATGTTTCCTCTGTGGACAAATTGGTAAATTAGTCAGCTGCCAAAAGGGAGTAATTTGACTTACCTGAAATGAGCAGCAGTGGGATGAAAACACATTACCTCTGTCCCACTGGATAAGCCTCAGATTGTATTGAAATAGAATTAGGCCAAGGGAGTCAATGTACTGGATAATAATGAAATGTTTAATGTGAATTAGCTGCATATAAAATTAATACATTAGAATGAATTGCTGAAGAAAGGAAACTGTGTCAGGCCTTTATCCTGAATCTATAATATTAGACTTTAAAATGGTGCACTCTTCTGTTTATAGAAGAGCAAAAGTAAAGGTATTGAATTTGTGTTCTTTATTTGGATGAGAGAAATAGGTGTAAATAATTATCTATGTATCTATCTATCTACCTATCTATCAGAGCAGTCAAATCAGGATGCCACTGAACCAAGGCTAATATGTTTGGGTCTGGACCAGACCTGAGAGGTTACAGACAAAAATCTAAACCTAAAACTCATTCATTATCAACCTGGGCTTTTTTTTCTGGGCGTTAAATCTAAAAGTAATATTTGTTCTGGCCATTCAAAGGTGAGTTGAAATGTTGCCTCAGTCTTAAAAGGCTTAATATAAAATGGGCAAACTTTTCAAACTAATTGGCAAATATCATCTTTGCCTGTGAGGTATGGAAGGGGTGCAGAATGAGCTGTGGCATGAAAATTACAACTATCCATCTGCACTCTGGGTGGGTTTTGCTTTTGGTTTGTTCTTTATTTATTTATTTTCAAAGCTTTCTTGTTGCCTTCTCTGTTCTAGGTTCATTTCTTTTTCTCAACGCATCAGAGAGGCCGAGCCCCATCATCCTGAGCCCTTGGCTGAGAAGCAGCAGTGATCAATGTGTAGTTCAAGTGGCTGTGTATAAGTTTTACCAGCAGAGTGGAGAATATATTGCTCGTGTCCATCCCATTGATGAAAACAGCAGTGAAATCTTATCAGTGAAGAGTCCAGAGAAACATGGGTAAGTCTCATCCTCTCATTTGACTCACAGCTTGAATTGAGAAAAATCACTCTGCTGTGCAGTATAGTCACAAAATGCATGCTGTACATCTAAGGGGAGCAGGACACCACAGAGGGTAGATGTTTGTCTTCCATGGGTCTAAAATATCATGGAAGCTGGAGATTGATGCTTATTTTATTACACAAAGCATCAGCAAACTTCTGGATCCATGCAACTGAATCTCTAAGTGGACATCACATTTATTGTCTGTGCTTACAGGTGCAGATGTAGTTTGGATACTCATCCTAAATTTAAAACTTTTCTGTCTAATTCACTCTGTCTGATTTCTTTTTACTAATTCTTTACCCATGTAAAGAATATCTTAGAATATCTACTGAGTCTTTGCAGTTTCATGTGTCTGCATATATTTTCAGTTTTGCTTTGCATTTGTGTTTTTTGTCAATAAAGCAGCTCAGAACTACTGGCAGAGGAGTAAAGCTTTTGATCTTTCAAGGGTGCAACTGTTTGAAATGTTTTATCCTTTTTGTGCAATTAATCTTGATGATGTTTTAATTTGTCAGACTTCCTGTGTATTCTTTTAAATTTTTGCTAGCAGCAGAACAGCAGGAGCTGAACACAGTAAATATTTCAAGATGCTGTGGTAGTAGAGTAACTGAGACTTTAATTTGGATATATGTGAGGCTAGTGCCCTACCTGCTCTATATACTGATTTATTTTTATTTTTATTTTTTACCTTTGTTGTGAAATGTGTTAAGAGGCATAATTTTCAGCAAACATCTCAAATTTTCTTTGTTTTGATCTGATAGATTAGAGAGTCTCTAATAACAAGTCTTGCTGGCTTGTGCTCGTAACAAGATGTGATTATCTGATTACTGTCTACAGCAAATTCTGTATTTTCCAGTAGCAAAAGGAGAATGTGCAATAAAAAACTTTGCAGGAGATAACCTAACTCATAGAAACAGTTTGAATAGTTGTAATTCTCATATAACACATGGCCTATAAAAGTGAGGAGGAGAGCTTGTGTGTGGATCTAGATCATACTTAGTTCCAGCAACATCATCCAAATTGTAAATTGCTGTTGATGTCTGGGGAGAGGCAATTAGAGGAGCTGCAGCAGCTGTCTTCTTCCTTAGCTCTTTGCAAATGCTGTGCTCTATGTCACAGCTAATAAACATGCTTTGTGCAAAGTGCCTCCTGTGTTGGCACTGCCACTGTTCCTTGGCACTCGCGGGGAATATTGCTGTGGGCCAAATGCTTTGGTCTGCTCCAGCTCGGATCTGTGGGTGGGCAGAACTCACCAGGAGCACAGGCAAGTGTCAAATATAAGGAGCCTTGAAGGGAAGGGAAAGATCACTCTAAGTACAATAACAAATTCCTACCTTTGCCATCTGCTGGAGACGACACGGACTCCTCAGTTGGGTGTTGCAGATGGAGATTGTCACCACAGGAAAAAGAGTGTTTGTACTTTTACAGAAGGAGGTTTTGATTATAGCTTGGCTGTCCCATATGCTTGCCAGAAGTGCAGCTTGCTCTCCAGCAGCATCACCGAGGTGTGTAGGGTGGTAAGGATGTGCCTGTGGCTTTCGTGGTTTTGCATGTTTGGCTTCTTGGTATTCCCTTGCTGTAAAACTTTGCAGTTGGAGCACCTGACTGGTCCATTTTTTTCCCCCTCCTCGGGGCCTATCCCTTCATTGTGAGGGGCAGTAGTTCTTCCCCCAGTTCACAAGGCAGAAAAACTCTGATGCTATACCCATGTAAATATCATATGGGGATAGTTAATTAACTACCCACAGACTGCAGACACAGATGATAGGGTGGCAATTTGTCACCATTTGCCCTGAATCTTCATTCTAGAATTTGAGTGCTCTTCTGCCCTTTGTTTGAAGGGATAATATTCATTATTCCAGCTTTGATAACACAACACGTCAGTCTCGCTTTTGTAAAAATCTTCTTTTGTTTAAATAGGAATTCAGAATAGCTGATCGAAAGTCAAGAATAATTCTATAAAGTTCTTAAAAGAACTAGCAGTCCTACAGTGGAAATATGTTCTGTTTGATATTTTATTTTGTCTTGGAAATTGCAAACAATTGTATTTTTTTATAATGAATTCTTTGACCATGCTATAACCAAATAGTTTCTAAAATTTTATAAGGATCTTAGCTCTAGGCACAAGGTAATTGAATTCCTCAGTGAACCTGCACTAGAAATAAAAGCACTTTAAAGTTCCACGGTGACACTTCTTTGATTCCATATGCTTTATATATTGTTTTGAAAACAAGAGGTGTAAAGTGTGTGTAGTTCCCAGTGACTGGCATCTGCAGTAGTGAGTCCATGATATGACTTAAAGTCATAGAAGGACGGGAATGTTTTTTTGAAACAAATGCACCTGGAGGATGATAAAGCAATAAGTTAATTCCAGGGTGGATTTTGTCATATCTTGAACTATACACAGCATCAATATCTTCTTTACACTTTTTTTTTCTCTTTTTCGTTCTTTTTTAATCTCCATAACCTGAATTACATATATTAAGATCTTACAAGGTCTTCACAGTTCACCTACATTTACAAGAGAAAAAAGTAGATGCTGTCAGGTGTTACTGTTTCATTCAGGGTGAAACCAGGCAAGCAAAGGTTTTGGTTGACAGCACTTGAAGCTGATTTTAAGTAGAATATACGTAAAGCTGTGAAATTGTACTAGGTAGAGACAGCATAGCACCCAGTATTTATTTGTTACCAGAGTTCCTTGGTGTTGTCTTTGTGTGTAAATTATCAGGTGTGATTATGCACAAAGACTCAAAGCAAAACTAGTGGGGTTCTGTTTGTTCCTCTCTGTTTGTCTCATTTTCTAAAGAAAAATAGCACAAGCCTGTGGACTAGAGTTGTACCAGTTCCTTAATGAGCCAGAGTCATTACAGAAATTCATGTGTGGAAGACACTTATTAGTTTTATTTTCTTACTTGATATATTTCAATGCAGCTGATCTATTGCATGCAGGAAGAAAGCTGGCTAATTTAAGATGCATCACATTGCAGCAGGGTGGGGCAGATACGACGGACACCAGGAAGAGTATGGCAGAAGTGATGGCTGCAAATGATTCTTGAGTGATGAAAAACACCAGAGGCTGTCAAAAGGATACTTGTTTTGTGTTATACAGAAAGTCTGCCAAATACAATCATGACTGTTACACATAATATATTTACAACAATCCTTATCACTCAGAAGGTAACTATATCCTTGTTTATCAGTTCAACAGAATTGTATACTTTTTTTTTTTAACAAGCAGGTAGATCTTATTCCACATTTATGTATGGGTCTGGAACACCTTTGGTTAAACCTTCTTTAAATTAGTTCCTAAGCAATCAGTAGCACTCCTCTACAGGGAACAACACATTGCTGTGTTCTTTTAGAATGAGATTTGTTGCATGATAGTGTTTCTAGATTATCTGACTCTGTGGATGTGTTTTTTATATGGTTAGTCTGTTCTGACACCTTTTGCAATTCTATTGGGTTTTACAAGCACCTGCAGATGATACAGGGAGAGAACCAGTGCAGTGCTATTGATCCTTTGTAATGGCAGGAGTTGTTATAATTCCTGCCATGGAGCACAGCACTCTCTGATTTATCTCAAATACCGCTAGATGTGGGTACTGGTTTTTGCTGTTTTTCTGCTCCCATGGTGCTGTATACAATCCTTTCTTGTTCTATTTAATGGATTTCCTATTGTCTATTTCTAGAGGTGAGGAGGCAGCAAGTATGTTTATGTAGCGTATTGGTTATTTGGCAAAGCAGAGTTGCTTCCACAATTTGAATTTTCACTTCTGGGTGCTTGTCAGATTGTCAGCGTGGCCACTGATTTCATTTCACCTCTCATTTGCTTTCCCATGTGTTAAATTTATAATTATAAAGCAAGTAAGATTGTAAATGTGCTTAGTAGAGTGGAGAAAACACAAAGGAAAACTTGCCAACAAGGTCAGAGTTTGTAATAAAGGATTGATTTTTATTTCTTTTGATTATTGTATTTTGGAGAAAGAAGAGTTGGGCAAGGACAAAAATATCATGGTTCATTTTAATTACCACTATTATTTTACATCTTTACTTGCACTGTTAATGGTGAGTTACAGTATTATATACTATATTTCAAACCAAACTTTATTTAAGAACATAGCTAATGACACCATATCTCCAGTTTGGTCTTTTATCATAGACCTCCCTCATCAGTAATCCCATAATGGTGTTCTTGCCCCAAAAAGTAATGTAGCGAGTGGATGTTGATACTGTTCAAATGACTGAAGGACTCTGAGGCCTCCCTGAACATGGGAAGTGGGGAAGATCCTTGGATTAGCTACTTCAGTGGGAATATCAGGATATCAGCCTTGTTTAGGTGTAGATTCAAAAGGTAAGAGTTGAACTACTGGATTGAGTTCACTTCTAACATCTGTCCCACATTCCCTGCATCAGCTGGGCACACTGCATGTTTGTTGTGCTGATGCTTTTTCTCTATAGGACAGAGCAGGGTAGTTTCTCTGAGATATTTTTCTGTATATTCTTAAACTGTAATTGCTGTATGTCAGTGTGACTTTGTCTCTTCCTACAAATCCTTGCAACACTTCAGAGGCAAAGGGAGGTTGAGGCTGTGGCACTAACACATCACAGGATCTGTTCTGTCACCCCACACTTAGGGGATGTGGACTGTAGAATCCCTGCAGAGAACTGATGATACTGAACATCTTTTGACTTCAGCAAATGACATAAATTGACTTTGCAAGCCATATGTGATTTTTGAACTGTGAGTAGGACCTTTAGACTTATTCTAAAACCTTAACCAAACTTGAGATTCATCTGAAGACTTTTGTGTAAATATGTGAAGTTTAAGGTGTTTCTTAAATAAAACTTGAAATCTGAACATGCGAGACTGAGCAAGGAAGCCATAAAATACTACTACTTCATATAGCCAGTACTTTAGTAGGTGCATGTATGTTTGTGCACAGAGCACTTCCAAC